TAAATCAGTAAGGTAAAATAAAATTACAGTTAAAATATTACAAAATCTTTTTACGTAATATATACATTTATGTAATACATAAATGTTTGTATATGTAACGAAATCTTTAATGTGGTTATTCTATAAAAAATATCTTTCATTTGATATATTTAATATGAAACATTGACGATTCATTGAAAAGCGATAGCTAAAAAACACAAAATTTGTTCTCTTGAAAAATTTGACTTTTGCAATTGCTGGGTTATTGAGGGCGTCGGTATATAAAACGTGATAATTCAAAGTGCAGATGGGACTTAAAATTAGAAATCCACGATGAGGGCCTATATTATTTAGCATAAATATTAATGATATCACTACTTACTTTAAAAACTCTTATACGCAGATGATTTAAAATTTTGCCGAACTATACACACGATCAAGACGCTCAGATGCTTCAAGTAGATCTAAATAGAGTAGTAATTTGGTGTAACGTGAATGGTCTGAATATAAACATTGATAAATGTTGTTTCATGAGATTCTTCAGAAGAAACAACTCTGTCAATTTTAAGTATTTTATCAATGTTTCTATTCAAGAGCAGCAAATGATGCGTGATTTAGGAGTGCTGTTCGACAATAAAATGACTTTTATGCCACATATAGGAAATACTGTTAACAAAGCTTCAAAAATGCTAGGATTTATTATTAGAAATAGTAAAGGGTTTAGGAACCCTGAAACTAAGATTACTTTGTACAATTGTCTTGTACGTAGAATACTGCTCACTACTGGAATATTGCACCGCACGCACAATCCACAATCGAATCGAATCGAATACAAAAAATATTTTTTTTGGCATCTCATTTTCTCGGCCGGTTTATCAAAAAAAATCACTTCCTTCATATAACGCGCGTCTCTGTCGATTTCATATGCTGTCCTTGGAAAATCCTCGTAAATTATTATATTCATAGTTTGTGTCTAAATGATTTCATCATGAAATAGATTTCCCTCAATTGATTTCAAAATTTAACATAAGAGTTCCACGTAAACAGCCCCGAGTGCCGATCGCAGCTTTTGTGCCACCCCGACGCGAATCGGTAAATGGATCGCATTCTCCAATACCCAGATTCTGCACAATAGTTAATGAGAACTGAAAGATGAGAAAAGTTAAGCCACAATGTTAAAAACAAATAGCCAACATCTAAATTTTGGTAATTATGATTTGCGCTGCTTTAATTCCTAATTCGAAACTTGATTGACACTTAGTTTTAGTAATCTTACTATTATGTTATGTTTACATTTAATTATTTATTACATTTAACCTATTATTATATGTGTATAAAACAAACTGGTGTGTGACTAATGTAATAAATGGCGGTGAACTTATAATTAAATAGCTTAGGTAATTTAATTATATTAATCACGTTTAACTTTTGTCTTAGTCTTAGTATTAGTATTAGATGGTATAAGCTAAAAGCATAACTTCGCAAAATATTGTGATAATAATATTTAAATTTTCTAACTGTCTCTCGGCTCTCCACAACGCGCAGGTGTTTTCTCGTATTATTGTTCATAACTACAGAATAAACTGGTGGCTTGAACCTGAGAAAGCCGCACATACGAACTAATAAAGTCAAATTAGAGTTTAATATATGCAAAGTTCGTGACAATTCCGTTATTACATGAGACGGAATCTGCGTGTTTCGAACCGCGTAATTGCTTAACTTATTTATTGCCTGAAACGCGAGAAAGTTAATTATGAAACAACGAAACGCCGCGAGTTTTCAGAGAGATCTCTAAAACACGAATATTATATTTTCTATATTATTTCGTAGCAGGAAATTGCGAATTCATATTGTTCCGTTTAAGGTCGTTATACATGTCGAAGGTGTACACTATAACTTATGCCATGAAATATACACAGAAGTCAAGATAGTGTATTCCCTGCTCGAAACTGGGTTCAAACAGTGCAGATGCTGGGCGGTAATACTTATTGCAGCCGGTTACCGTCTGCATAAAAATTTATGGAAGCTTAGTGCAGATTCTGCATTTTTATGCTACCGAATCATACTCGTGAATATTTATGTTTAATTTCTTTTATGTATTATTTTTAATTTTTTAATAAAGCGGGAAAAAAGCCGCCTGTTTTTTACTCAATTGCATCAAATTGGCTTGACGGCATGAACAATTGTATTTGAATTAAAGAGACTACACTTTACACTTGCCTGGTGAATAGTGGAGCCTAGTGCTAAGCTTACAAAAATGCATGGAAAATTATGGGTGTTTTAAAAAAAAAACGTTGATTCGTATTTTAAAATGTAGATCAGTCATTCTAGAGATAAGCGCGTTAAAGCAAACTATTAAACTCTTCAACACGATAGAGCTCGGTTAATTTCATATGCATATTTGAGTTATTCATAAGATTACATTTGACGGAACTAGCGTGTAGCCCGCCTAAGGAATAGCAAGTGGAACCTCGCAGATAAGCCGCAAAGGATAACGGCAGATACTAAATTAACTCGGTGGATTTAAGAGAATACGCGAGTGTGAACGACGGCTTTTAGGGATAGACATTCGTGTTTATGTTTTAGCGCTGCGTAATTGAAGTTTACGAAACAAACGTGCGCGTGTTTAGGGGGTCATGTGTTGTATGTACCTACTTGATGTTTATGTATTGTTAGCGTAAGTACGCCATTGGCTTAGTTTTAATACAATAAATTATTTTCCTTAGTTAACACGAGCAGTACACATTTAAATTAAACTATTAACAACGGTTAACGCGAAATATATTAGTAAACTTATTCCGCGACCACTGTTGGTGCAAAGCATACGAAATTAAAATAAAATAAATCGTAAATTAATTCACGTATATACGTTTTAAATCATTCATTGTTTTATCAATTTAAAGTTACAGTTGAGTCCAAAGTTTAAATGAATGTAGACTAGACAGAGTTAATTTAAGATCAAGATTACGATGCACCATGCATGCAGGTAGATGCATAATGTAATAGCAAAATTCGACGGACGTTAGCGAGAGCTCTCGGTCGTGGGTTCGAAATCCAGCTATGATGCCGTCAGCTCTTTAACAACGCACATCGTCTCTAATTAGTCAATGTGTTTAAAAATATTTAGGAAGCGTAAATAAAAGGCGGTTCGTTCGTGCACTCTTTTTTATTTCCAATTGCATATACATATCTATATATATGTTCTAATTATTGTAACGGCGACGTTCAATTCCTTCCTTCTGTCTTTAATACGCTTTCAACGGTTAAATACATATTCTGTTAATCAAAGCGATGTACACATTTTCTTATAACTTAGTGTAGAGAAGGTGTGCAGTTGGATAGTCCCACATTTGGGAGAGATATATTTAATTACTACTACAAAGGCAGAAAATATATCTTCATTTCATTGTATTTGTGTACATGGCTCAGTTATCGAAAAACTTGTACATCGCCTGTCACCTTATTAAGGTAATGTTACATCAGCCTCTTCACGGTTACATGAAACACGGCTTCATACGACTTCGTTTTCCCAATATCGTTACGACTAAAATGTCGGAGAATATTGTTGATCTAGAATTTAAATTCTAATTTCCATTGTGTACGCTTTTAAATATATTCCATTTTCGAAATAAAAACAAAAGTCAATCAACAGAATGCAACAAGAACCTCCGACAAACATCTGTTTCTTTATTCTAGTCTGAAACCACGACTCCGTAAGTCGACTTGACGGTATTTCCTAATATAAAGTTAAAATATTTTCAACTCTAGCTAATTAAATATGGTACTGTGTAAAAATGTCGTTCCGACATTATGAAAACGGTGCTATCAGTAATTGGTATTCATTGTCTTATCTAGCGTTCAATAAAATATAGGTATTATTTCTGAGCACGTTCGATAATATTTTGGTTCAATATTAAGGCGACGTTATTTGATATTTAATCACTATTTCATAACCAAACCTACAATAACATTGGAAATAACGAGCGACTATTCTTTGGCAAAGTTGTATTTTATTAATAACGAACTCATTCCATGTGGATCTCTTTTCAATATTAATAGTGCGTAACAACAAACGTATACGAGATTATAACCATTGAATACACAAATTAACAGCTAAGTCTAAGAGTATAAATAAACAATAACTTATAAACCTTACAAGTTATATTGTTCTCACTTATATTCAAAATAAATGCCTAATAATTAAAACGTCTAACAAGGTAATTCGCAGAAAATATTTTTAATATTTGTCTAGTCAAATGCTTGGTTGTCACTATTTAATAGCATGAAAGTTTAATACAATTAATAAATTCAGATTGCACACGACTAAATAACATAGCTGCATTTATTTGTGCTGTGTGTTACTTACAATTATCTGTCCCCAATGTTCTTTATAGTGCATTATGTATAGTGTATATATGTATGTATATATTATGCATAGAACGTTTCAACATCAAACACCAACTTAAGTATCAACAGAACAGCCTCTATAATGCAAATTCGGTTGTTCGTCTACTATAACCCGCGCGTTAACTACAAATACATCAATTTAAGCAACGTTTGTGCATCTTATGCATAATGGGGTAGAATTAGGCGCTATTGTAGTTGGTTTAACACTTACTTATCTCTAAGAAAAATATATGCTTTTAGCGCTTTTGTATCAGATCTCTAACGTACAAGGAGTAAATAATGGTGCTTTCAAAAGCACCTCTTTATTTCCTCTCTAAACTACTTTGGTTACGAAAATAATACTGTTTTGTACCATCTTAAAATGTTTATAACAACGCCATCTGTAACGCTTTATCTACATCAAAATAACTAAAGCCTCGCTAGTATTGCTAGCTTGCTCGCCGCGTAGGGAATAGAGTGGGATGACAACACACTATGACGACCGCACTTAACCTACACTGAGAAGACAGGTCATTGCAAGACTTGACTTTCGAGCCATCTGTTAGCGATTCAGCCAAGTCCTATGCAATCGGATTACTTCAATATGGTCCGATCATAAGAAAATATTGTTGGTTTTAAAGAATTTGGCATTTGGAAAAGAATTTCCTTCGGCGGCGCTGTTTCTCCTCTTGCTGGGGGTGGTTGCGTATAATTCGGACGAGCTGTAAAAAAGATAGTAACTATTTTAACTTCTAGTATAGAATTTCAATACTCTGCTTGCTTTTAAGAAACGACAATTAGGCAATAGAAAAAACGTATTTTTTTTAAATAAAGATAATATGAACGTATTGTAAACGTTTGTTTTTTTAAACTACTAAATATAAAAATAACATGTATGTACTGTTTAGTTTACGGAGTGTACACATTTAAATAAAACACTTTAACGGTTTAAAACGGATATATTAGTTAAACTTGAAGCAGCCGTGGTCACGGCTGCTGCAAAGCAGCGAACGTGGGGAAGTAAAATTTTTCAAATAAGTTTAACTAATATATGCGTTTTAAACCGTTAAAGTGTTTTATTTAAATATGTATGTACTTAAAAACCTGAATACCTCGTGAAACGCCGCATCTATATTGAGCGGTGGCTCCTTGGCGCTGGTCTCAATGTACGGAGCGTTCAGATGCCTCGCCATGTCGCGCCCCGCTTCTTCGCTCACCACCCTCGAATGAACCAAATCCACCTTCAAAATTAAATTCTTTAGATAATATGCACGGAAAACGGCATTTCTGGTACAGTGGATGTATGATCTAATAGAATTAAATTTATTTATTAAATTTCATGAATTAACAGGCAAACCTTGTTAGCAGCAATCAGCATAGGATATGTCTCCCTGTCCTTGACCCTAAGTATCTGCGTGTGAAAGTGACCAATGTTCTCAAAGCTCTGTTTGTCCGTCACTGAATAGACCAAGAGGAAGCCATCACCTTTGCGCATGTACTGTTCCCGCATAGCACTGAACTCTTCTTGCCCAGCTGTATCCAAAACTGGAAGATTTTTTAAACATTGACCGATTATTATGTTATCAGATGGTATGGTATACGGAGTGTTACTGCATATCATTTGAAATGTATAATGTAAAATAAGCTTTACCCTATGTATAAAAAAAAAATAGTAAGTCTTAATTAGATATAAAAACTATTAAGTTTAAACTTAATTTGGCCTTGGTTTAAGGTATTATACAAAAGTTCAAGAGAGTTTTATAAGTAAACCATTCACCATCAAGAATACACCACTGCCCATCCACCTCCGTATGCTGTATGTAAGAGTCCTCAATGGTGGGGTCATAATCTGTCACAAACAACTTCTGGAAGAACTGTATTGTGATGGCGCTCTTGCCCACTCCTCCATCGCCGACTACCACTAGTTTCACCTGAAGGTAATATTTCAAAAATTAAAAGACCACAGAGCTTATAATATCAGTTATAAGTAACTTAAAGCTGGAATAAATTAAAAACATATCAGTTATCAAGATACAGAAATTTAGGGTATTACTGTTACCCATTTATGGGGCATGGGGCCTTTTTTTAAATCTATCTTTCTTCACTAGTCAATCATGCAGAACATAAACATGCATTTTATGTTCTCTTTTACAACATTGATAGACAAACAGTGAGGTAATTTAAACATACACTGTCACTCTCCCTGAACATAGTCATCTCAACAAACTAAATCTGTAAGCAAATCAAATTAAATTCAATTACTTGATTGAAATTTATCCTTATTCATTTAATAGGTTTTTTTTTTTCTTAACGTAGCACATTAACGGTTTTAGTTGTTAAAAATACTTCAATTATATTTCAACATTCCGAAACCTTTGCATAATGTACACAGAGTCGTGCGAATAAGAAGCCGACTAAAATGATAAACATAAAATGATCCTTAAGGAAGAAATGACCAATCGTTATAACTTACAGTCGGAAGGTTCTCGCTCGGCGGTCCAGCGCGCGTCATGATGGCCGTAGATCAAATCTCGAGCGGGCGCTCATCAACAGTAATTATCTGTAACACGTCAAACAATACACGCATCGCAAGGCCACTAGAGGGATCATCCGTCTTTCATTGAACATTCCGCTACACTACCTCATCACTCCAAATTGATCTGATTCACCGTGATGAAGATGGAGATGGTCACGCTGCCGAGGTAAGTGTTTACTGTTTATCTAATGTTTGGAGCCCTACGCCAATCATCAGTGCATTCTCTGTTTCACTTCGCCCTTTTTAGCGATTATTTTGGACGTGCTCAATATACGCTGATGACAGAAGAGAATTGACATTGACAGTAATGAGTATTGACATGATGTCAAAGTACTCTTTGAAGGGTCAGAGTTTTTAAATTCTAAAGATTAAACATTCCTCAAATGTTTTCTCTATACATGAAATGTGTCGTGATTTTTACGTTAAAATGATTCAAAGACACGTAGAATAGGACAGCTGTTACATTAAGATATAAGTTTACAGCTCTACAGCTATTCATTACACTTCGGGCTTCAATTAAATATTACCTATGTACCAATAAGGGGTTAGCAATTTATCTTAAATCAACAGTTATCTGAGATAAAAATATTGTAAATAAAGATTACATTTTTAACAAACAAATATGCCTATAGTTATATTTAAAAAGGAAAAGATGAATTTTAACAAGAAAAATTTAACACATGAGTAACCAGTTAGTTACATGCAAATACTTATTATACATATAAAAATAACTTGGATATTCTGAATTCAAGTCGCACACTGTTTGTAGAAGTTGCCTTTCGAAAACACATAATATAAAAATGCCCTCAAAAAAATTTTTAAAAAAAAAAACCCTTAATCTACTTCCTAAAGATCCCAACAATTCCACCTACCTACTTTTCATTGAAAACAAAACAAACCTTGCGAAGCCGCCGGGTCAGTGACCGTAGTTGACCCTATTTTTAATATTATGTAACTGAAACCCTGAAATCCTTTACTCGTGACCTCGTTCCTTCATAAATTGCCAATATTATGTATCTCAATATATAAAATACAGCTTTAACGGTGCCCGAAACTATATTTCGGTACGTTCTATATAGCATAAATAGTCTCAAAAATATTATATGTACCCTAAATTCATGACGAGGTTGGGTAGTTTAATTATTTTACAAGTAAATAATACAAACTTTACGATTTGTTATGCTAAGGGTTGCGTGTTAAGTAGCATAAAGCTGATTATCAGATTCATAAAACTATTTTCACTCAATGTGCGCAAAGTGGATTTAGAATTTTCAATAAATTTGATTTTCACAATATCAGGCATAAATAAGAAATCCGTTTTTTGCCATTTTGAGGTAAAGACGGACGACTGTTATTCACTTGTATTGCCGCGCATAAGACAGAGCAATTTGATAAGCGCTCCGTTACAATTTCCACCCCGAAATCCGAATTTCCGAACGCACCCTCTCTTCCCTCTACGACCCCAGTACGATTTTGACTTCCGAGGGGAACGTTGCGTCTCGCGCTGTACAAACAGTTCAATGGACTTACAACATTAGACAAAAAAACCTGTAAAAATATCGAAACTTGAGTGAAAATACTACATAATCATATAGTGAAGGCGACAGCGAGGTTTCCTTGAACGCGTCAAATGTAAAGACGAAGGTAAGTGCATTTATTTGATTCGTTATGACAAATAACTAGATACATAAGCGGTGGCTAACCGCGTTCCGTTTTAATGGATGATCCTACGTTACTTCTAATAAATAAACTTGCATATATTGTAACGACAAACAAACGATTACTATGCTGTTATGCGCTTTTATTAAATCTTAATTTGATTGTGGTATTATCAATTTGTTTACGTTAAGATTTTTGCAAAATGTGTGATACCTGCAAATGTATAGCTCAAAATCTGCGACAACGGGCTGTAAGGGTTGTGATAAAAATATTTAAAAACAAATGAATATATGGAATCTTAACAATTTCCCGGGTTGCTGAATGCTGTATATTTCTATACCTAATTGCGAGGACGATCCTTCAATTTCGCCGCATAAACGCACAGTGTCAAGTGAATCTTTATTTACCGCCAAAAACCCCGAGTTGGGTCACATAACGGGTCATTAGTTCCGATTCGCTGACTTGACGAAAATAGGGTATAGGTACGTTGATTGAAGCACTTTGACGACAAATAATTTTTTGTCAGTCAGGCACCTAAATTTACGAAAACAACCCTTTGTATATTTGCGTTTCGAGCATAAGTAAATATAATTATAGTATAAGTAACCGTTTTCGCAGCGTAAGCATCTGAAACCCACAGAGATGCAAAATGTCCCCCGTTTTGTTCACATTTCCCGCCTGAACTTCGCTTCTATTAGTCATAGCTTAGTTATATAGCCTATATAGCCTTCCTCGATAAATGATCTAACTAATACAAAAACAATTTTTCAATTCGAGCTTTAGTTCCTGAGATTAGCGCGTTCAAACAAACAAACTCTTCAACTTTATTTATTAGTATAGATATAGATTTTATACGTAATACCTACTATAACTATTACCATCGTGGACACTTATAAGTCGTTCGATGATTTCTCGTTTAGTACGTAGATATAAGGAACCGAGGAGAGGTAACAATTTTAAATACACTTCGCTCTGATAGTAGCCTCGAAAGCCGCCTTTTTGCACGTTTGGCCTTGTCCAAAAATATATGAAATTTTCAACATTTTCAAACACGGGGCGAAAAATCGCAACCCTTTCGCCTGACATCGGTAAAAAGTTCATGAGTTATGCGGTGGGCATTGGAGACTCGTCGAATGATTGCGGGGCGAAAGGGAGTCCGGGGAGGGAAAGTGGGTGGGGGATGTTTTGATCTCGTTGCGTCGCTTATCCGCCGCCAGTCCTCCGGGAGACGTAATTAAGGGCCTAACGATTTCATCGCTGTCCATACGAATACTAACCACACTAATACGACTCTCTACATTGTCGTGTCAAGAATAAATATATAGAGGTTATTTATGCCGTTTATTCTCGGACTTAAACGACACAATCATAACGTTTTTTTTCCAGAACCTTAAGCTCCGCTTACGAGCTTCTAGTTCGTAGCAGTTCGCCCTTATTGTGCTTCGAAATGCACAAGAATAATGCGCCCCGAGCAGCTCCGTTTAGGCGAAGTCGCGCCAGCACAAAGCGAGCTGGAAAAGCCTAAGGCTCTAGCACAGATTGCGCCGCGCATTGTTCCTCTTTCGGATATTACGCGAGTGCCTCGGCGCGAAGACGTCTCGAATGTGACAAATAATGCTTCTCTCGACCTGCTTCGTGCGCGTGCTTTGAATATTAATCATAGCACAAACGGCTATAGAGTACATATCTGACACCTACCTAGGAATTGTGTCTAGTTTTCGCGAATAGAACTAAAGCAGCGGTCACCCCGTGTCCAGCTACGGCGAAGCATCCAAAGCGTCGGCCGTAATTACAATAAATTATTAATAATATAGGTATGTCGCATTAAAGTGTTTCATTAAAACAAATCGAATATTTATGAATTGTGTGATACATACTCCGACATTACTGTATGCGTATTGCCTTAGATTTTAAGCTGGCAAACAAATATTTTGGTCTCTTTACTAAAATTATCTAAAAAATAATGGCCTAGCAAGTATACATATTATAGTAATATGTGTGATTCAGTCTCTTGCCCTCTAATAACCCAAAGCTATCATTTTTTTCATATTTTAAAATCAAAATTAAATCTTAATTTTTACTATTTATTTTAACGTTTTTTGTTGTGTTAGTTTTGATTCAATGTATTTTACAATTTATTGCATATTCTCTCTTTCTTATTTTACTATTTATTGTTATTTTGTTTTCCTTTTTCTTTATACAAAGGTTGCCTGGAAGAAATCGCCATAGGCGATAAGGCCGCCTTTCACTAATTTTTTATTAAATAATTATTTTAGTTTTACTATATCTTATTTTATTTGTTTTCAATAAAGTGTTTTATTATTATTATTATTATTACATAGCAGCACAAATGGTTCTCATAAGTAAATACAAAATGAAGGTCGCAAATAAATAATTAAAGCCTAAACCCCTTGCAGAGCTAAATTTCTCGTTTTTACGTCTACGTCAGTTCAACGTGTAATCGACACGATCCTCTTGTAAAATTTTAAAGACCTCAAGTACGTTTTAATGATATTTCGCCGGAAAAGCAAGCATGGTCGGAAGTCAAGAGTGAGTACCTACGTTTAATGTACTTTCAGTTGGGCTTGTCAGGGCGAAAATCAAAAGTTTTTTTTTTTTAATTGGGTCGGGGTTTTTTTTCCGGGGGGGGGGGGGGTTTTTTTTGGTTTTTTATTTCCTTTTTCCCCCCCCCTTTTTTTTCGACTAGCTGTCACCCAGCGAACACCGCTCCCGTCGTTCTTGCTCGATAAATGCTTTAAACAACACAACAATATTTTTTCATATCAAACCTCTAGTTATTCTGAGTAGCGCGTTCAAACAAACAAAAAGAAGCTTGCAGGTTTACTTGTACATATATTACAATATTGTCGTGGAAGTAGATTATTTGCAATCGGGTATTGGAAGTAACATGTACTTATTTCAAGTTCAGCGAATTATAGGCTACACGAAAATCACGAGAATCTGTCAGTTAAAAGATCATTCAATCTACAACTTTTTTTATAGAAATGGTTCTATCACAAACAGACGCTGCTGGCTGACGATGATACAATAATAATAATAATATAAAAGGCTATAAATAGAAAAGCCTCCATTAATGCAATGATGACTCCTAATGTAGTGCAGCATGATTACAATTCACAAAAATCCCCAAAAGCACCAATTACCAACCCCCATCGATGAGGGCTTCCGTTTGTCGGGTGATCGCTAATATAACTACTGTTTGAGACAACGCGCCAAATTGTACCGTAAATATCTGGCTTGTCCTGACACATCGACAGTTGCGCAGAGGGTCGTTCACCCTCGAGGGGCGAGATAATTCTACTATTATGTGCTTTAGGCGCAGAACAGACCTCGCGAGTAATGCTTTAAAAAACCTATTTTAGAAGTGCCAGTGCACCAGTTTTTATTGTGACGTCGTAAAAGATTTTAGTTACTTTCATAAAAGTTTAATGTTTGCAGTTGCATTGATATTATGGGCAAAATAATACATTTTCTTCATTTAATGAGTTTTTATTTTCGACATATTTTTAAATAAAAAGAATCACAAATCGTGTATACTAAGCCTAATTACATGAAGCTTTCATTTTCATCGCATTTTCCATAACTTAGGGATCAATATCGATAGCACGGCAGAATAGTTTTTCCTGTGCACGACATAAAGGCGTAAATCCTGTATCCTTAATGGATTTAAGGGTAGTTGGAAAATTCAAATGTTTGACTACCTGAGTGAAGGTTGTGTTGAATTCAATCAATAGTTTTTGTGTAAGGGGTGAATCGCACTTTTTAACTAACATTTTATTAAAATAATTAATGAGTTAATTAATTTATAGTACAATTATTGATATTCAATTAACTAGTTTATAATAACTCGTATGACAAAAACGGATGAGACTTCTTTTGTATATATTCTTATCTCTTGCGATATGTATATTTTGTGCTGGTAGTCATAGCAACCAGCAGGATGATGATAGGTACAGTACAACAAACTACTTGTTTACGTCTACCGAAAGCCTCGCGATTCAAATTAAATGTTCGCCAACCCCTTTGCATAGCATAGGCGCAGACCAGACTGGCACGCGTTGAACCTAAATCCAATTTGTTTCCCCTATGACGCTCCCCAGCGGCCGGAACCTGCATGTCTGATGTTAACATTGTGCCCAAACATTCCCTTATTAACTTGCTCTTGTGGCTTTAAGCTCTATACAAAAGTTTACTCAATGCACAACCACGGTGGCTAAAACCAAAATGCGTGTGTGCAATGAATTGGCCAATTGCCCAAAAAAATGGGGTAGAATTTAAGTTTAACCGTTGAGGCATTTAGCCTTAAAAGTAAAATTTAGCTATTGATTTGCTAAGTAAAACACGACGATACTTAATAACACATATTTAAGTCTTGTAGGTCTGTAAACTTGTAAACTTAGGAGAAACAATGTGAATTATAATCGATTTTAGATTTAAAAAAAAACGATACGTGCAGGACTGAATAAAATTACAGAACCGGCAACCTCAGCATTCCTGACTCTTCTAAACAATTGTGCAACAATGTTTTTTTTAGTACTTACAGTAAACTCAGGAAATAAATATTTCTTACAAACACATTAAATGGAAAGTAAATAGTCGTTAAATAAAGGCAAAAGCCTGAAAGGAAGTCCCGACCCTCAACCGAAACATCATCTTATTTTTACCGTCGTGCGGTGATGTGACAAACATTGCGAATCGCCAGGGGGCTGCAGTTTTCATTAGGGTCAAGGTTTTGTGGACCGAGCTCACGATATAATTATTTACTATGTTCTTGCCTTAGATCAGTTGCAGTCGTTTCTTTTTTCGCTTGCGCGTGCGAATTTGATGAAAAAATGCATTTAGCATTACCATGATGGACATCTATCTGTTTAAACTTGTTTTTTTGTGATAGAACTGTCGAACCTCCATCTCTCACGGTGATTCGTGACTCAGACGCAATTTTAATATTCGTACTGCCCACTTATATCCAGTTCTCCAGACAAAGTTGAACTTTGTATATTTCAGAAAAATTATAAATTGAGTAGAAACAAGTTTGGCCCTGTGGACATCCAACGTGACTCGTTGATTACTCGTATTAGCCATACATCGCTACAATCAGACCTACTTCCCGTTCGTTGATTATTACGAGTGTCGTAAAATTTGTATGCCACCGAGTAGAGACATCTCTTAATTATAAACATTCCAACGCTCTAAAACACAGATAACAATTGCGTTCCTAGAAAACACATTACTTCTCTTCAGAAACTTGGCGCCGAACTTAGTAAGAACTGGTTCCGAAGTCATCCTGGAGCTTTTCCGAAAGATCCTTTTCGACTAACTAACTACAGTTACATAAGTTTATTATGCAGTCTGGCAAAATGTATTGTCTGACGAGACTTATTATTAAGATTAAGCACAGCGGGCTAATTCAATAGCGTACGTATATTTGCTGTATAAACGATCCACTACGACCGATTGCAATTCTTTTCGGTTAGCCAATATTTACATGTTGTAAGCGATGCTCAACAACCCCCGCTCAAAGTGCGCACGATAATGGGCAATGAGTTATAGTTATATCGAAGGAGAGGAGGACTAAGCGTCGAGTCCTGAGGGATGCCGGCCCATTTCATTTCCTACATATGCCGTATTTCAGCGCTTTACTCCGCGAAGGGGAGTTTGAGGGGAATAAATGCACTTTCGCGGGTCTTTGATGTGAGCACGTTTCTTTAAATTAAATAAGCTGGTCCTATTGCCCGTCTCAAACTTATTGCACTTCTTATAAGATTTTTTTTTCATTTACAACAAAGCAATTTCTTTTCGAACATTTGACAGGTTTATTGGTGCAATTTAGATGGCGAGTATGGCCGAATAACACCTTAAATACAATGTCTAATTCTTCTGAAACATGTTAGAATATTGAAAATTCCCCCTTCCTTCTTTACAAACAGACACGAATACCCAATCTAACAACACTCGTTAAATTTAAGCACTGTTGTGTTCTTATATCTCTATCATTGACAATACCCGTCTTCTTTGGTAAAACAAGTTTTATGTCGATGCACATATCCATGAAATATTAAAGGCTTGTATTATTGGGAACAGGTAAAATGTGGTTGTCAGTGGACATCGGTGTGGAGGCATCGCGGGCTGCGCCTTGCTCTCGGGGCAAACACTCCGCGACACTCCTGGGGGGATATGTGTATGTGCTGGGCGGGCGCGGTGCCGGTGGGTGCGTTCCACTCAGGGACTTCTGGAGATATTGTCTTGGTAAGTAATTTACATTTGCAAACTACGTACGTAATAACTAAAAATTTACTCTATTTGGTTAATCTGTCCCAATCGCTTCATTATAGTTAGAATAACTTATCTCTTGTGTAAGGTTGGACTTCTCCCATAATTCATCGCAGAATCAAAAAATAGAGAAAAATTCAATTCGGAGGTTTAAAAAGTCTCAAATAGCAAGCCGTCCGAAACCAGAATGTTAGTCTAAACGCTTGACCCACTTAAATTGTGTGTCATTAGGGCGAGCAAAAGAAATAATGTGTTCTATCAACATCGAATCGAGCTTGTCAACACATTGGCGAGTGTTGCATCTCACGACAAGCACTTCTCGGGACGGCTTTGTCCCTCGCGACACAATTAACTGAAGCACAGTTTACCTCTCACGAGAACCATCGAGTTCGATAACAAATCTCTCGTTCCTACAAGAACTTTACGCTTTATGAGTTTCCTCTAAATATTTCCTGTAAAATTTAGAAAAAAGATCGTGTGGTAGATAGCTCTATTTTATATATACATACCTACCCATTATATACGTTATTATATCTGAGTAAATTCTGATAATAAGCACGCACCATGTAGATGTTTTGTGTGTTATGTGTGGACGATGGTGGTTAGTGGCGCGGACGTAATCTAAACTTTCCCACTATCAATTTAATATCCAGACATCTAATGTTGCAGAAGTGATAATGTGGCGCCTTTCACATTTTACCTCTGGTTAAATTAGATCTTAATTAGTTTATTTTCGCTAAGTGCATGTACAACAAATAATATGGGAGGTCTTTTAGGAAACGGTCGTTGGGAGAGGCTGGAAGCGAGAGGGGAGCCACCTCCTGCCCTGCAAGAGCATACGGCGACAGCACACGAAAGCCGACTGTACGTGTTTGGTGGCGAAGCTGGTGCGCTGTCCAACGAAACACCGCTCTGGATTTATGATACAGAAGTAATTATTATAACTCCGTGATTCTATTTTGATTACAAAGCATTCAACAAGATCTCGCGTGCACTAAAGCTCATGAAGGATAACATGATACTTTTATTCAAGAGTAGATAACTCAGTGCCATTGCTTTTTAGGGGAGGTCTTTTTTTTCAAACTTTTCCCTTTGGCTTACACTTGACAAAGTGAAGTGAAAAGGCATTGTTTTACGACTATTGAAAAAGTCTCCTGTAAGAGCTGAAACTTTTTACCATTTCCTGCTGTTTGTGTTGGTACTTTTAATTTTTAAGGCTCCGATTGACCTTCTAATACTGTGTAATAATAAACATTTCGAAACAATAACTTTTCTAAGATTTTTTAATGAAAGTTTTTTTTCAATTGCTGTTTTTTATTTTTTAATAAATAAAATTTTTTGGGTGTTTTTCGGTTTTTTTTTTCTTTTTTTTTTTCCCTTTTTCAGCTAAAGATCTGGCGAAAGCTAGCAGGCCAGACGAGCAACTATTCGACCGTGCGCCGACGCAGCACCCGTGAATCCCGCAACGGGAACATCCCACGTGGTCGGCGAGGCCACTCCGCCCACGCGCTTAAGGACTGTCTTCTTATCTATGGCGGATATAGGGATTTGAGGGGATCCACTAATGAATTGTGGGCGTTCCATTATGGTACGTGGCTTAAAACATAGTGAAAATTTGCAATTGAAAAAATGCAAAAACTATCTTCAAGGTCCTACATCAGACGGTGTAAACCAATAACTTGTGATACTATCGCCTTATAGAATCCGAAACGTGGCAACAGGTGCGCACGGCCACCATGGGGCCGGCGCGGCACCGCCACGCAGCTGCGTTGTACGACGCGCGTCTCTACGTGCACGGGGGACAATGCGATCTGAAAGACTGCGCCGATCTTTGGCACTATGACACCAGTAAGGATACAAAATGATTCCTCATTGGCCATTTCACTGATTTTTGTAAGCGCAAAGAGGCGCCTTTTTTAGAATTGACACATTTAATAATTTGCTGATGAAATTAAAATTCAACATTAAATTGCGCGCCTAACGCTAATTCTGCAATACAGCTATTATATATACAAGGGGTCATTGGTGTAGGTATGTCGATCATATTGTGATCTACAATCTACATGCATTTGTACCAAAAATTAACATTTTAACAGCGATTAAAAACGTATTATTAACACAGAGAGTAAAACAGTTTTAACACTAGGGGGTTGGTCTATAGCACTGTTTATAAGCAAAGTGACGTCGACATAAACCCGAATCACGAGCGTTTCATGTCATGTGGCAAATGTTTTAAATAGTTGCAATCTATTTGCGGTTTTTAATTTAAATAAATTATTATTTCTGACATATGAGACGGTTTTAATATGTCTAAACTCATACGTAATAACGATAACAGTAATTGACGCTACATTTTAAACATTGCCAAATACGCCATTGACTGAGATAATAATGTTTCCTCAGTATCTCGAGTATGGACGCAAGTTCGAACCCCCGCTAAAACCTCGCCGAGCGCCCGTAGCGGCCATGCTGGCCTTCGCGCCGGAGCACATCTCTACATCTTCGGAGGGGAAGCCAATGGACACCCGACAAATGAACTGTGGCGGTTTCACTTCGGTATTACTTAGTCCATTCATAATTTTAATTATGTTTAATTGCTACGCGGGTGGCTTATCTATACTAATATTATAATATATTATAAAGAGGAAAGATTTGTATTTTTGTATGTAACGGATAAACTCAAAAAGTACGGGACCGATTTTAATAATTCTTTATTCATTAGAAACATTTTCACTGAATAATATAAGCTATATTTAGTACTAGATTACTATATAATTTTTTTAGAAATTTCTATCAAAACCAACCAATAGTATTTATGATAGGACATAAAAATGTGGAACAATATTATAGAATATAGCAATATCTACAAAAACATCGCGAGAGCATATGTGTAACTATTGTAGTTACGTCGCTACTTTTTTACATTTAACGACCAAAATTAGACCGTGTTATCAATACCATTTTTATTTTTTTATCTAAATAAATAATTTAATATTCAAGACTGTCTCAATGCCTGATGATTACTTCTTTAATTATTGCAATCGGACATTCCATTCAAAAGATATCATGAAGTTAAAATAAAATACATGCCGTATCCATGGCGGCATCAAGTAACTAACTTGACGATAGAGGGGCAGTGGGCTCCTTACGTAGTGGGCGCGAACATTTTTATTCTTTACTTATTATTGATTTATTCATAATTTCTCTGATTTAAAATAAGGATAGTTCCCAAGAGAGATTAGCAAAAGTTCGTCGTATTGGAGTCTTCTTTCTAAAATGATCGTTTGGAAAGTATTAGAGTGTACGCGTCCCAATCGCGAGCCAGAGAATTTACCGTCGAACGTCGTTCGTCTTGCAGAACAAAATGCAAGATCGTCGTAGCTATACGAATGTATAATAATAATGTATATAAGTGTGAAATAAAGTTCTTGTCACTGATGTATCGGCATCGGACAAAAATAGGTCGAATAATAGGAGTTAGTTTAGTCGTTTTTTGCTGAGCGATGAAACAGATTTACGATTAAGCAAAAGAAATCATAATAATGAGTTATTCTTTCAGCATCGGAAACCTGGGAGAGAATCCTGCAGAGCGTGAAATGGCCGTCCGCACGTATAGACGCACGCGCGCTCCTAATCAGCGGAGCACCGCCGCGCGCGCACTCCGCCCCCGCGGCACCCGTCAAGCACCGTCCAGAGCCGCCCCAAGGGTTTCTCCGAGAGATCTCTAAGCTCTCTTCGTTCCACATCCGCCGCGCCGCTCGCTGCTCCTATAGCGTCCTCGGAGACCAAGACTCCACCGAGAGCCTCATTAGGGAGTCCCGCTCTCTCTCTAAATCTCGCTCCGCCTACATTATCGACGAACGTCAACCGGCGGACGGCGGTGAGAGTCCAAAAGAAGGAACCGTCCCGGAAGAGTGTCGAAACGTTTCCCGCGAACCCATATCCGTCCCCAACTTCGCAGACATGGTCCTCCCCACTCCTGTCCTATCTCCCATCGAAGCGACCAAACTGGTCTACCTAGACTCCGAGGAGGAGGAAGATATGAAGCCCAAAAACGGAATAGAGATGACGACTATAATCCCGAAGTCGGCGTCTGTGAAGTTCACCAAAATACCGGTGACGGATAAAGTGGAAGATGAAGGTGAACTATCTACATCGGATTACGCGAGCGCGGAGAAAGTTAACAGGCCGAACAGGGCCTCTTTGGGCTTCAGCAACCCCCACTACCTCGGCCCGGATGTGAGAACCCTCGGGACGGCCGTCACCCCGGATTCTGGAACGGGCGATATTGAACTCCAGGACTTGAGCGAGCGGAGATCGAGGAGCGTCCCCAGAAACGGAGAAACCCAACTGTATTTACTGCTAGTCGGAGGGAAGGAGCCCCCGCACGTGGCGTTGCTGCAGAGTCCGCTGTCCATGTGGACATACCGGTTGCTCTAATGGCATCGTCTACAAATCTTACGTCGTACCTCATTTAGTTTTGAATCTTGTTCCGTTCGTTTAATGTTTCTTATTTTGTTATGTTTCAGCTTTACCTAGTTGTGTTAGACATTCTCAATAGTTATTAACATCAGAAACGTTCAATTGACAGGTTTTATCTGTTGTCTCTGTCTTAGTTATATGTACGTATGAGATGGAAAGAGATGACATCACTTTAGTGTTTCGGATTTCACAGCGACTATGGAAATAAAACTATGACACGGACACCACTACCCACAGTACATTACATTGTACAATTATTATTACAATATTAAGTAGCGTGTAAAACATAGGTCTAGTTTAGGGAAATATGAACACAAGTTATTTTTGGCTTCGCTCAAAAACAAGATAATCGTCATACGTCTTACGAAGTATTTGAGGTTAAAAAAAAAATGTTTTGTACGTATTTTAATCGTCGATTTACTCCGAGTCTTGTATGTTATAATTTATGTGCCAACTAGATGTTGTCGTTGTACAGTGCAATATTATACAATTCTATCTGCAATGCAATATCTATCTTTATACAATTTGGACTTAGTCTTTACCCATGTATTACGTTATTAAATAAATATTTCGTTTCTAATTATTTAAAACCTAAACGTGTGTAAAATGCCGGCGACTGAAACTTTTCGTCAGTTTAATTGGACCGAGCCCCTTGGTTAATATCTTTAAACATCGAGGACACCGATGTCAGGGCTTTTGTTGGATAGTCACTTTTTTATAAAGGAAACTATAGCAAGACAAATTTCGGGTAAATAAAAGGATAATTCTCATCTTTATTATTAGCTCTAAGTAAGTTTACTTAAAAATAATTTCATGTTTGTCATAATTTGTACATAAATACACATTCGAGGTGGATCCCTGAGTCGTCTTTCGACTTCGTACATCAGAAATTCAACGGAATAATTCGTAAAATTAAACGTATCTTTAATTATTGATGTCCATCATTACATAAAGCCCTTTAAATTTCACATCGCAGAGTAAATGATCGGACGTCTATAGCTAGAATATAAATTATAAATAGACTCTTGTAAATAGAGCTCTACAGTTTGAAGTCGATGTCGAAGAGCGCCTTGCAGGCCTGCGCCGCGGCCCACTTCCTCGCCTCTTTCTTGTTCTGACCTGCAAATTTATTTCAATACTCACAGGACTTTACTTTTCATTTTCAATCGGTGTTATAGTTATTTGAATGCAATCTAGACTAATTCATTAAAAAGCCACGAGGCACCTTTGGACAAATAAGACAAATGTTGCAAAGTCGCGTAATAAGTCTCGCGTCTGAGGTTAGACCAGTTCATGATAACAATGTTATGGTGTCACCGAGTAAAGTTAATATTAATTGTGATACATAAAGTTATGTGTACCTTACTTTGTTTTTGATATCCTTGTTTATAAATTGCATTTTCTCGATGACTTATGTTTTTTGAACAAATAAATAAAAAATCCAATGTAAAAAAATTACTCAGTTCATCAGCTCACCTTGTCCGACGAATCTAGAGCCGTCTACCTCCACTGCAATGGTGTAAGTGAGGTTCTGGGGTCGGTCTCCCTGCACTCCCAGCTCCTTGTACTCCTGTTGGGGCCGCATGTACGTCAGCAGCATGCACGGGTGCATGGAAGCCGCATTCTCTGGAAGCGTTTTCACCTTCTTCTTGGAAACCTGTGGGGCGTTGGGGGCTTGTGTCGCCGTATCCATATCGCCACTTTCAGATACCTGAAATGGGACATTTATATAAATTATTTACTGAACAATTAAAAAAAAAATGTCAACTCAATTGGAGACAATCTGGAGTACAAAAACTTCTGATCAATTTAGGGTTTTTTATGAAAGAAAAGGAGAACAGGTGAGCCACTTGCAACAAGTTGCGCTGTCGACTTTTTTGGCTTAAGATAATCTGTTTTTGAGTAGGTGTCGGTAAAATCAGACTAAGCTTGATCTGCACTAACCGAGTTATTTGGAGGTCGGAACTGCGGCACCCTATGGCCTTCTCCCTCCCACTCGCTGAAAAGCTTGTGGAGGGCGAAAGAGGCGATTTGGATCATGGGCATCGGTTCTTCTTCACCAGTGTCCATGGATTCTTCGCCTGGAATCATTTATACGTGTTGCGTTCAATCTTAACCAATCTCAATCTTAAACATAGTTAATGTCTTATGATTTTAAGAACAAAACACGCTTATTTAGCGTTCACATTATGTCTGGACAAACATACAGTACCTATGCAATAAAGAATTTAGACAACGCATATACAAACAATCACTATGTTAAAGAAACACATCAATTTGTTTTGGTAAATAAAGTTTGTAGTTTTGAATTTTGAACCACACATATTGGAATCAAATCCTGGGCAACCGCAATAGACTCGGTCTGCCAAGGCCACGGTAGTTTGATCAAATTACTTGTATTTTAATAAAAGACGTCAATATAGACAGCGATGTGACTGCCCCATACCATAACAAAAAAATTATATAAAATGTACCGTTGGCGCTCTCAGCCTCTTGTGGTTTGTCCTCGCTAAAGGTTCTGGTCATCTTCTTGATGATGATGTCCCTCACGGCCTGCTCGGCCGCCGCGTTGCGGGCCGCCGTCTTCGTCTCGCCTGCGAAACGAAGGAATAGCCTTAGACCCATTTCATTCTAAAATTGCCATATATTTTTAAATACTAATATTGAATTCAGTAATATATTATATGCAAGTGATCTGTTGATGTGCCATAATAAAAATTAAATAAATAAGAAAAACGAGACTTCATTACTCTAATTTGGTCCTTTACTGATATACTAATAAATAAACTATGATATTCACCCCTTTTGTCACCTGATAAGGATCCTTATAGCTTATGAAGTAAGAATTAAGGCAACAAGTAAAGCTCTCATTTGCTTACCAAAGCCCTTGTATGTGACGCCATCAAAAATGACTTCAGCACAAAACATAACGTTGTGCATGTGGTTGAACTTTGTGGGAAGAGCGGGCTCAACTTTGAATGCCTGTAAAACATCATATTTAGTCGTTAAGAGAGTGAGTATTTACAGACAATTTACATAACACAAGACAATTAAAATAAATATTTCGTAACAGATTGATTAACGAACTCTAAATTCTAACTTCTCAATTCTTAATTAACCACAAATTGGTAGGAGAAAAAAGCTACAGAGCAGTATGACGCGCATCGCCAATTCGAATCTTGGTGATATCTAAGCCTACTCACCAACTGCATGCCTGGCACCATTTCGTTGAGCACCATGAGCGCACTCTTGGGTGTGACCAGGCGCCGCAGGTTCTGGTTCTGACGACGCCGACGCTCCTTGTTCGATATTCTTTTTACTGAAATATGATATATTTTTTGAGTCAGAAGACGACAAATCAAAGTTTAAGAATATTCGTTTTAAAATTATAATATTGCACAAAATACACATAAGCTTGCGACCTGAAACACCTTTTTTCATCCACGGCGGCTTCTCTGGATTCTCAGTGGATACAGTGCCCTCTTTTGTGTCTTCTATTTTGGGTTCAATCTAGGCACAAACAAAACTATACATTTTATTTAACAGTTTTTAAACTTTTTCAGTAATTTATGTGTATAAGAAATCAATTAAAGAGGTTTTCATTACAAAACTTAACAATATAAATCACATCAATATAAGTCAATCTTTTTAAAAGTGTAAATAGAAAAATGTGTGATAACTTAGAAACACCAGGATCCAAAGTTTGCTTACAATTATATTAATGAGGTTTTTGCAGTACCTCTTGGTACCTATTAGGATTGTTGCGAGCAATGGATTTGTTTAAAACTTAGGGGACTTAAGGTATTAGTCAGTTTTTAACTCTCACCAAGTTATTAGAAGTTTCCTGTGCTTGATTCTGTTGTTCTGTCTTCTGGGGCAGCTGGATGAATTCTTGATCTTGGAACTGCTGTCCTTGCACTCCATGTGGTACAAACTGGCATCAGTGAGCCGATTGGTTATGTGCATCATATCACAGACAATAGAATGTTGTGCAAAGTAGAAAAAGGTTTTACGACATATAATTTTTAAAAGACTTTGTGGTTTTAGCATATTCAAGGCTCAGTGGTTTTGAAAATAATTTTTTTTATGATGTTTGAATTATGTATTTGTTTTTGGGTAGAGATTGTTTTTAGAAAGTAATATTTATGCTTTTTGGGAGAAGATGCACATAATCCATTAACTACCATTTAGACAATGTGTCCCACACTCAGTGATATTGTAACAGGCTATCGCAACCTCATTTCTGTGAATTTCCATTGTACTAGTTTTCAAGAAATAAATATAAAGCCAAATTTAAAAAATTATTTTAATCAAGAGCAGAGGTAGTCAAGAAAAAAAAACCCTTAAGTAATTATGCATTAAAAATATTTACTTTAGATTCTACTATTTGTATCTAGCATTAGACGAGAGTATTATACAGTAAATGAGGTCATAGCGGCAACCTATTCCTCCAGTGTTACAATACCTGAGAGATGTTACACCCTGGCTAATAGTACAGCTTACCGCCTATTTAGCCTAAGAGAACTCGTATGAACATGAGATTAACATGCACATGACTAGTTCTCCAAAATCGGTTACTCTTCAAGAGGCTAATGTATCTGTTTTACTTTGTCACTTTTATATTCCATAACTCAAAGTGAGAGTAATATTCAAACAAAGGTGAATTTTAAAAAAGATCATTTGCGCTGTTAAAGAGTTACCAAATGTGCTCAGCCAGTGCCCAATGGTCCATCCGTCCTAAGCTGGACACAATTATAATGTTAACTATAATATTGTCACTTATTTACGTAATTTGCAATTGAAAAATACGTACATTCATTCCTAAGGGGCGTATGTAGTTCCCTGAAATTAAAAATAAGAAACAAAAGGTATATGAGTTAAACAATTATTATAAATTCAAAATGCAAAAAGCTCTATACTTATAAATATCATGTATAGATTACTCACTCGACATTATAGCGTAAGTCTTCAATTTATATCTTAACACGAAATGTGACCGATACGTCTATTATTAATGCTAAATCTAGATCAATTGCAATACTGTCAACTTATATTAATAAATATTAAATGTTAGAAGTTTAGCAAAATCGCATAAACAATTTGATAAAAAATGGCTGAAGCCGCATAAAGTACCACAGATAGTATAAAACTAACAAGACATAGTGACAGGATATAATACAATTAATTAAAATTAGATACCACAGATTTTTCAAGTCTGTGAGTTAAAAACACATAACATACATACTTGACTTTGACGTTACATCTAATTAATTGTCAAATACGCTGAAAACAAGGTGAAAACAAGCTTGCTGTAATAATAATTAAACATTCCTTTCCGTACTATTTTGTTTTAAAAATTTCTATTCCTTAGGAACTATTAGGAGAATATGTCTGTTTCTTATTATTACTCTTAAACGTAATACATTACCTTACATGGCTTCTAGTTTTACGTTCAAAGTGCAGTAAAAGTTTCTCCAGGTATGTAATATTTTTATCACAACAAATAAGAAATGCCTCAAATTTCTCTCTAGTTAGCAGCTACTTGTGCGTAATAAACAGTGAATTTTGATACAATTCTAAATCTTATAAGAAAAAAGAGGCTGCTATAAGTTGCATTAACATACCATTGCAATGTGTACCAAACATTATATTTTATAAGCAAAAAATAGTTTAAATGATCAACTTCATAATTGGACAAACTTGCTTAAAATTACATGTGGAGGTAAATGTGAGAATTGTTACTTAACTTAATAGTTCCTTAAATGTAAATGCTGGATTTTGTACTGCAGGCTATGTTGTGATGTCATCCATTCACTGTGTTGTGGTGTGGGAGTGGCAGCATGAAGGACAATGGCTGCCACATTCCCCCGGTGTTGCAAGGACTCTTGAAAGAGCACACGCTAAGAAACTGACAAGGGTTGTCTTGGCAGATGCCGAACCTGCACTAAAAGGGCATTATGTTAATCTGCGTACTTTGACACAGTGTTCTGAAACACCCGGTAAGCTAGTCTATGATTAAATATGGTTGAGTGAAAAATTAAAAGTTACCCACCCATATTACTGTTATAGTAAATAAGTTTCATTATTAAATGTAATAAGTGTTGTTTAAGTAGAGTGCACTGACCTGTCTGTCAGTATAAATGCAATAGTTAAATGGATCTACACAGCAATATGTCTTTTACATATCCCACACAATTGGTGGGAAATGAAAAAACTTTTTGGGTGTAAGTAGTTTTGAGGCGTCATAAGTTTTAGTGTGTCCAAATTTTATTTTAGGTGTATCAGAGTGTCGTGTGCGTCGGTCATGCTATAGTGTAACGTCCCCTGGAGGTCGTGGCGTGCGTTGGGAATGGGCTCGTCTTGCAGACCCACCGCGAGCTGCTGAACTGAGATATGATCCTCTCCCTATGGAGGTATTTATCTCCTATCTTGCCTTATAAAAGTTAAAACAGATATTAAGTGGTTATTAATTAGTGTGGCTGTTCTTCTGTCATTAATTGACTTAGGGATTCTGTGTACTTTATCTTTTTTAAAATGACTACATCTATCTCTATCAATTCAATGTTACCTTTCTACCAATATCAGGTCCAATGTCGCCTAGAAGAGGCTTGGGAACGCGGGATCGAAGCAGTGTCCTTTGAAGGGTGGCTGGCGTCACTCTCTAGCATGACTGCACAGAGGCACATCACTGGTTTACCTGGGGCACTACGACTTTTGCGGCGAGCAGCACAGCCCCCATACCCGCTGACTAGGTCTTCGCCCCTGCCTCCTGCGCCGCCAGAGAGAATGCCTATTGATGGTATAAATTCATGATATTAAAAAAAAATATGGTGTCATTTGGTGAAATCCAATACTCCTTACTACTATAATCAATACATAGGAGCTTTATATGAATAACACATAAACTACTTTCATAAACAAAAGGTTGCTACTGTAAAGTTACCATACTATACTTAACATACAAAGCATTGTATTGTTTGGATACACTTTGAAAACGTCTTAATAATATGTTATCGCTTTAGGACGTAGACCTAGAATACCCCAACAGCATACCGGTTCGAGTGTACACTCAGTGCAGTCAATACAGTCGGTGCAGTCTTTTCAATCTGTGAAATCAGTGAAGTCTGCCCCACCAGCACCTCAAGCTGCTAGAGAAATCAGAGGTGGCGCCAGAAGTGCATCACCAAGAGACAGAAAGCCTGGATTGGCGAGGCAGATTCTACACAATTTGAATATTTTTAGTTAGTATGGTGAAAATAAGCAGTAACATTTTAAACACTGTATTCATAAACATTTACTAAGTCACATAATAAAATATACCAAAAACTATCTTTACATTCAACTGTGACTGTCTAAAAGTTTAATATTAAGTAAGTAATTTTTTTTTTTTTTTATGAAGCATACCTATCATCACAGATAAATATAGGATATTTACTTATTTTATTGTATATTTTATAGGTAATAACAACAAGAGCTGCAGTGGCGAGATGAAAGAGAAGGAGGCAGAGGACACGCGGCACACGGACACGGAGTGTGGCAGCACTCGCTCTGGCAGGAGACACAGCGTGGACACCGTCTCCACCTACCTCAGCCATGAAAGCAAAGAGAGCTTGCAGGTACTTTACTAATGGGGTCATATTGTGTCCTTTACTCAAAGTCTATATATATCAGTTTTTATAATCTGTCTTGTACACTCACATTTTTACATGATCAACTCTAAGTATCTTATTACAGCAAGCTTCAGTTGGCGAACTACTGAATTGCAGCATGGGCAGTGATGACGTCTTCGAAATGACAACTGCACATCCGCAGGCTATTAATAATAACAATATAGGTACTTTTAAAATTTAAAATAAATTTCTTTAGGTTTACAATGTGCTCAAGCTAGGGATAGTCTGAATGAGTATTATTATATGTAATATGCTAGTTTGGGGTCATTGATAAATCAAAATCAAGATAGAGAATGACACAAAAAGACTCGACAGTCTTCGAAATGTCGACTGTGGCACACTAACTATCGCCCTATGACAAAGTTATTTTTGTCATTTAGAAGTCTGGCTTTGGAAAAAAAATAACTTTCGTCACAGGCCATTTATATTACATAGCGCTTATTTAAAAAAATACCTAGTACAGGCCCCAACCAAACCTTTCTTTCTTTTCGTTTTTGTACAAAAATTACATAAAATGATGTGTGCATGATATATATAAGCATAGTACCTGTGTTGCTAATCGTGCAGAGCCCTTGCAAAAGCCGCGCTGCGTGGGCATGAGCGACGAGGAGTGGGCGGTGTGGCGCAGTGTGCTGCCGGTGTGCGGGCGGGAGGGGGGCGCCTCGGCGGAGGGGGGCTGCCCCGCGTGCGGCCTGCCCCTGGACGAGCGGGGCGAGCCGAGGGACGTGGTCGCGCTGGCGCAGTGCGGACACGAGGTGCACCTCCGCTGCCTGAGGATACACGCGCAGAAAATCAAAGACACGGAGGTAGTGTTTATTAATTCTTAGGTCGAATCATACCAGTTATATAACAAACCAGATGTAATGGTGGGCTGGAAACGTTGTTTCGATATAAGAGGCAAAAGCACCGCGGAGACTCTTAGGTGGCAGGCCTGATGGTCGAGTAGGGCATTAGCACTTTTAAGACTAGAGACTGGAGGCACCTGGCCCAAGATTGGACGGTTCCGACGTCTGCTTGACCAGACCAAAGCTGAAGAGGCTGTAGGGCCACAATAGATACATTGACATTTATAATACTTAGCACACATTTTTAACTACATAAAGGAATAGTCGTGCTTATAAACTACGTATATGAAGCGGATTTACTTTTTTCTTGTATTCTTACTATTATTGCATTAGTATGTAAGCGATTCACAATGTTTCCGATTATTAAGTTATGAACTAAAGTACTTTACCTTTGCCAATTGCAGGGTGCAACATACATCGAATGTCTCGTTTGCGGACAGCAGTACGGACGCGGTGAGGAGAGGGAAGAACGACAGGGGGGCGGTGAGCAGCCCAGCGGATCAATGGCCTGGCGCAGACAAACCGACAATTTGCCCGGACATCCACCACATTCTGGATCAATACTCGTCACTTATAAGTTAGTGCATATTAAATGAGTTTTTTATAAAACTATACGTTTATATTAATGCTTCGATGTTCGGCCTATTTATCTAGGAAAATATAGTTTACATTGTGATGTTGGCTCTTAGATTACTTATTACAGTGGGACAAAAAATTTTTAACATACTCTACGCGAACATAACCACGCAAATCAGCTAGTGTATTAATAATCTAACATTCAATGGGAATTTTCCAGCTTCCAATCTGGACGTCAAGGACCCGGACATCCAGCCCCCGGGGAGCCATACTATGCAGTGGGGTTCCCGCGACACTCGCTGCTACCTGACACGCCTATTGGACGACAGGTGACCTTAAAATAATATGATACAAGCTTATAAATTTGTTCATCAGTGAATTATCACCACTACTGGCTAAAATAAAGCCCAAAATATGTAATAAAATTTATTATACTAACGAACTCACGCGCGCTCGTTCCGAGACCTTAATGATAACAGCTGTACTTTGCACGTCCTGAGCATAGACAAGGTGAACAACATAAATTTAAAGTCTTCGAGTTTTGAACACAACGAGGCATAAAAATCTTTAGTTCTCTATGATAAAATATTGCGTTTACTCCATCGTTTGAGCCTCTATTCTCCACAACAGCAGTGGATTTAGATAAAACACTTTAACGGTTTAAAACGCGCTATATTAGTTAAACTTATTTGAAAATGATTTTTAACTTCGGCCCGACGTTTCGGATGCTTTGCAGCAGCCGTGGTCACGGGGAGACTAAGTTTAACTAATATATCGCGTTTTAAACCGTTAAAGGGTTTTATTTATTTGTGTGTGTAATGTGTACTACTCGCGTAAACTATAGACAGTAGCAGTGGGTTTATTGAGGCCTATCAAATTCGTAAAGCCGAATGCTTCTATGATAGAAATGAAATCCTATTTCCCTAGTATTTACACGCAAGTAGATGTCACACTTCTGTGCCCGATTGAAATAATATATCGCTTCTTCTCGTATTTAACTCAATGCTTAATATTGTTGAAAACAAATGCAGGTGCTGACCGCGCTGCAGTGCGCCTGGGAGCGGCGCGTGCTGTTCACGGTGTCCGCGTCTCGCACCACGGGTCGCGAGCACGTGGTCGCGTGGCGGGTGCCGCCCCCTCCGGCCACGCATGCGCACTACCGCACCCCGCATAACGCGCACCTACTCCTCGACGCGTTGCATCATCTCCACGCGTTGCTGAGGGACACGACCGTATGAGCGGCCGCGCTATTATCATACTGTTATACGTGAGATTAGAGATCGCGAGATAATTGTGTTACAATGAGAGCCGTATACATTTGGTTGTTAGCTGAATGAGAATTATATGCCCGATATCACTGAAAAAAATAATATATTTTCTACGATATCGCCCTCTATTCAACTCATTAATTAACATTTTAAACAATTTTATTCCTTCGTAGTGAAACTGAGTGCAACATTAATTTAGATAAACGAGGAGATATTTCTTTGGAATGCATTTAACGCCATCTCTTGTTCAATTAAGTAAGGAGATTTTTCATATTATATCGAGTTCATCTCTATTAAACATTTATCGTATTCGTGTCCTAAGTGTAATATGACTGTTAATATACAAATTGAGTAGCTATGATAATATTGTAGTCTATCCAACTTCAGTACAAACGAACTTGTCTAACGTATATTTACATATTGTTTAATATATTTTATGAATATCTATTGTTATATCGTAGGTAAGTAAAGCTGCGTAGCCAGTTAGGTCTTCCAATCGAAGCATTCCGTATGCTATTATATAGTTTTTTACTTATATCAAACCTAACATTATTTTAGTAGATATTTAAATATTTAGAAGATATGGTTATGACTGATGTCTGTAATAGTATTTATTAGAATATCATAGATTTTATATAATATAACTTAAGCTACATATGATCACTACTTTGATATAAATATGGCCGTAAAGTTGTCATCAAATAGATTTTAATCTTATATACAGAAATGCAAATAAAGCGAAACGCCCACACACTAGTGATTCAGGCTATAAAGAGTAGAAATTAATATTTTTTGGTATCCTAGTATTTTCCAAAGGATAATTATTGCATTATTGCCTTTAATTATGAATTGTTCGTGTGTGGCCTTAAAATGAGCATTCTCTTTAGAAAAGCCTTCGGCAGCTTCATGAAGAGGTGAAAAAAGTATATTTTGTGAATCTCTCGTCTTCCATTAATGTGACAGGAGTACCTCAGTCTTGCCAGTATGTGCCTTTATTAGTGTTGCCATTAAGGCATAGGATAGCTAGGACTTTACGTGGGAATATATCCTGTTATCTGAGTATAGTCTTCCTGAATTACATTTTATAGATTTTTTTCGATTTTGTCAAACAAATCTTGTTATAGGTTATAAAATAGATTTATTTTAGATTATTGAATTGTTTATTTTATAGAAATAAATATACTTTACTGAGAAGAAAACTTGTATTATTAGTTAAAGACTGTCGTGCATTTCATTTAAAGCTGCCTCTAGACGTCTCTTTCGTCTTTGCCCTGAGTACAGTCGCACCCCGACGGACCCTCGAAGAGAACAATGGCTGCAGAGTTCGACAAAGAGTCTATAACTCCTCGATCAATATAAACATTATATTGTTATCTAACATTATCAATTCGCAAATAGTCACGAGAGACGAAATTCAAAGTTATCTGCACGAAACACTGCATACAAACATACGAATATAAACAATCGTCTATTTATGCTAAGCATATAAATGCGGGAAGCCTTCGGAAATTGTTCAATGATGGAGACACTCAAGTGCAAGACGGTGGAAGGTATTCTCACCGAGAAGGATTTCAAGAAGATAGTGCATAATGCGGCGTTGGACGACTGGGAGATACGCGGTTGCGATGTCAATTTGGCCGGGCAAGGCTTATCCGGGTTTCTGGGAGACCATTTCAGAATGGTACTTCATTTGCAGAAGGGAGAGTTCACGAGGCTACTACACCTATTTGCCAAGTTCCTGCCTCTGGTGAACAAGCCAAAAGCTCAATTTATAAGTGAATACAACTTCTTCAAGAGGGAGAACCTTTTGTACACGCTGTTTGAGGAAATGAACGCCGCTGACGGTGAGTGGAGCGCCAAGTGTAGTTAAATGATTGATTTAAAGAAAATTTAAGCTAACGAGATAATTACATAGCAACAATACCTGATAACATAAGTCTATTTTCAATGTAAATACGTAAATGACGTATAGACCTTCGTAGCATTCCTTCAGATTACACAAATGTTTCGTCATTGTAAAATAACGCAAGTTTGGGTTGTTACGAATATAGGTTACATATTTTCAACCTTTCAGAAACAACATGGTGCCCGAAAGCTTTGATACACACAGACAGCGTCATCGTCATGCCAGACTTATCTGTAGCAGGGTATAAGTCCGTCCCGCATCATGAATGTTTGGACTTGAAACACGTGTTAGTCGTCGTAACTTCCTTGGCCAAGTTCCACGCCGGCTTCGCCTGCTACGAAGCCGATAGGGATGCCCACAGAGAGAGATCGAATAGTTTTTATGAAGATTACAAGCATGTCTTGACGGAATCTGCCGACTTCGACGCACCCTGGACTACTACTTGGCTACGAGCAGCCGCGAAGTTGACCTACAATTTCTTGTGTGAATTCTCACAGAAGGTGGAAAATGTTGAAGATCTAGAGGAGAAACTGACGAGGGCATACACTAAGGCCTGTAAGGATCTCGCTCCCAATAAAGACAGCTTGAACGTGATCATCCACCGGGATATGTGGGTAAACAATATCCTTTTTCTACACGAGCATAACGAGCCGAAGGATGCGGTGATTTTGGACTACCAATGCGCCAGATACGCACCGCCAGCCTTCGACGTGATGATATTTCTATACTTGACGACGAGCAAAAAGTTTCGTGGGTGTCACGAGAAGGACGTCTTCAACCATTACTATTCAGTGTTCACTCAACACCTAGACGATACGGTAAAGGGTAAACTTAAGGACTACAACTATGGAAGATGGGACTTCTTCGACTGGTGCGAGAGAGCTCGTATGTTCGCCATGACGCAGGCGATGGCCATATTTCCCTTCGTCCTCATGAGCCCGTCGATGGCTCAAGCGACGTTTGATAACCCGGACACGTTTAATAAACTCATGGACGAAGACAGGAGCCCACCCGTATTGGCTCATGCTAGAGAAAGTCCTCACTATAGGGAAAGACAGTTGGAGGTGAGCGAAGAATTCTTGGACCGATACATTTTGAAACATTTATAAACCAATAAACTAGGATGACAAAACAAGCGGCGGCGATCGATTGCAGTGTGTCAGAATTTCGGAATAGTGTATAATGAAGAAAATATCCTTTCTATTCTTATGGTATTTGGCATACCCGAGAACTTTCCATTGTATCATAATTTAACAAAGTTAAAAATATATAGGATATTTTTTTTTGTACGGTCAATAGTTGTTAGGTACTGTAATAAATATAATAAAGAAATTGAGTTAAGCAATAGCGAACGCAGTCCCCATATGCCAGTGATTGCAAACAGATGCCCTCGCTGGACCATCTGGCGAGGCTTCGTCTCGTTTGGACATGACCATATCTGGAGGGACGGCTTTTGCGAACGATCTAGCAGCAAGAACATACGTGCAATATTGCTTCGGTGGGATCTAGGTTTTGACGTACAATGTATACTGCAATTTTATAACTTGACTTACAAATAATAGTAAAAAATTATTTTCGTTTGGGAAAACATTAAATTTTTCGGCACTAAGGCCTATATAATTTAAAAATCGAAATAAATTGAAAACGCAGTCTTTTCATTTTCCTCCTTATTGAATCATGTTTTTTGTTATTAGGCCACTCTGCCTCTAGCAGTTATATAATGCTGAAGAGTTTTTGGAACGCGCTAATGTCAGGAGCTACCGTTTCGATTGTCTTTTTGTGTTACTTAGATCGTTTCCAGCAATATAAAACTTTACAAACAAAGGGACCACGACGGGTCGCTAACGACGGGACTAGACCGATGTTTGGATAACAGCTTAAATTTATACAGATGAAGAGTAGGTTTGCAATATAGATATAGATATAGATACAGGTAGTATTTGAAGTAGAGATGAAAAAGCGCTAGATCGAGTAAATATATTATGTAAAGAACATCTTAGCAAAGAGAGAGAACCACCCATAATGCCCCTTCATAAAAAAAGTAACGTAAGAACTATATAACATTTGAGACATGCGAGAAGGATTATGCGAAGGACGACAGGTCGGTAGCTGCTCCCAACAGAGCGACTCGAACGCGACAGCGCGTAACACCGGGTGCTATTACTACTATACAATGTTCGCCTATTTAACGACCGCACAAAGGAACTGTTTTCCCTGAAAGACTAGAAAAAATCTAGTAGTGGTGATCGACTGTTTTTAATGGCAAGAGGAGTGACGCTCAGGGTTTTAAGTCACGGGTTTCCAAATCGTTCCAACGTGTCTTATTGTCTGAGGACATTCGGAAATCCACGAACTCAAATCAAAACGTCGATTCACACTGCACGGATCTATTTATCTTTCGTTCATCAGCCGGAATGAATTACGATATACCCATTTCATATCCCGATTATCCTAGTTTATAGGAACATGTTGGATTTTGTGGTACATGGAACCCACGACCCGTAATGTGTAAGATACCCTGTAAACATTGGACTCGTCAATGCACTTACTACACGCGACAAAAATACTTGTATGTCACGTAATAATTCAAAAGCAACAATCGCAGGCCTGCCACGATATGAGCGACGGAAAGAGGAACAAAATTAAGAAGTGTTAGTAAGCGTTAAATGTTGACTACTCAGTGGACGCTCCTTCGCATAGTGGGACAAGGGCGCCTTCCGCCCTATACGGCAAATTCATTCAAAAGGAAAAACATTTTTATATATTTACTAGCTGTGTCAGAGACTTCGTCCGCGTTATTTGACGCATTTAAATTTGTTTTTGCACACCTCCTCTTCATCTTTATAATTATCTATATCTGCTTATAAATTACAAAAAATATTAACCTATATATTTTATGCAATTACAATATAGAAAATACTATATTTTTTAAATATTAAACATCCATAATTTATGATATTTCGCATCTACGTGTAAATTGAACTAAATATGCGCGTGAGTTGATCGTCGGACATCACTTAGCGACACTCCTACAAAGTTAATGCTTTGTCGTTTATCTTAATCGTGGGCGCACTTTACTTTGATTTATAACGGATTAAAAGATTTGGCATTTCCTAAAACAAATATGTATATCATTTTATAGATCTAGCTTTTTATTCTTAAGTATGTAGATACTCTGACAAAAACACAAAGAAAACCAACTTGGCACTAACAAAAAATTGTTTGAACACATATAAGTAAGGCAGTTGTTGTTTGTCCAAAAAAAATATGTACCTGCTGCCACGAGGTGCCACTAGTTAAAAAACATATATATTTATATCTAATATTTTTCTAATAATAACTGCCACTGTTACCTGTAATCTATTTATAATCTATACTAATATTGTAAAGAGGAAAGATTTTTATTTTTGTATGTATCTGATATACTCAAAAAGTACTAGACCGATTTTAATAATTTCTTTTTTCATTAGAAAGCTACATTATCACTGAGTAATATAGGCTATATTTAGTACTAGATTACTACAGAAATCTTTAGAAATTTCTATGAAAACCAACGGAAGGTATAAAATATCTTTCATCGCATACGCTGCGAAAAGTATTTATAATAGGACAAAAAAATAAAAAAGGAAAAAAAACATATGTCTAACTATTGTAGTTACGTCACTATAACTACTTTTTTACATTTAATTGATAGAAATGCCGAACAAAACCAGACCTTGTTATCCATACCATTTATAAATTTTTATCCAATTAAATAATTTAATATTAAAGATTGTTTCAATACCTGATGATTACTTTTTTAATTATTGAAATCGGACATTCCATTCAAAAGATATCATGAAGTTAAAATAAAAATACATGCCGGCGGCGGCCGCCACGCCGCGCATCGAGGACCTAACTCGACGAAAGGGGCAGTGGGCTCCTTACGCAGTGGACGCAAAAGGACATTGAATATTTCGAGTTTTTTTTTTACATTTTTATGCTTCACTTAAAAAGTTCTCTTCAGAGCTACTTAGTTTTAGTATTAGGAATCACGCTTTGCATCATATTTGTCAAAGTTCTTTTCGGAATTATCTCTTTGAACTTGAATATTTTCTTTTGTGTTATATTAATTATTTGTTTATTCTTAATTTCTCTAATTTTAAATAAATACCTAAGAATAGTCCCCAAGGGAGATTAGCAAAAATTCGTCGTATTGGAGAGTCTTCTTCCCAAAATGATCGTCTGAAAAGTGTTAAATTGTACGGGTCCCAATCGCGAGTCAGAGAATCTATCGTCGAGTTCGATTCGCGAACGCGTGCACGGGACTCTAACACTGATCGCTCGCAGCGGCTCCTGATACAGCGAGCTAGACAACGATCGCTAACAAGAAGCTAGGACGCGCAATATTTTTTTTAGTGATTTTAGTGATTCATGGTCGTTTTGCATTCATTAGCATGCTTATAATTTAAATATCTGTACCTATTTATATATTATCTATTCAAAAAATTCATTTTGTATTGGTTAGAGCATTTATTGAGGCAATATTACGCTGCGACTAATAGAAGCGAAGGAACAACAGGAAATGTGAATATAAACGGCAAACAATTCTTGTGGGTCCCCGTTGCGTCCGCTGCGAAAACCGTTCAAGATACGTAAAAAATAAGTATGAAAGAACGATTCCTCTTTAAAAGACAACACTGTTAAGACTGACTGACTGTAGTTGACAGACGATGTGCCAAGTCTAAATATAGTAGAATTAAGCTTAATGATTATGAGCAATAAGGAAAACCATTAACAAGAAAACAGACTATACACTGATAGTCTTCTAATTACACTGCATAGTGACCCAATTTTATGTCACAACAAAATATAGCTTAGAAATATTGCTTAAAAACATTGGGCGAGGCAAATAAAATGATGGTGACAAATAGTACGTTAGCATTGGAAAGTGGAACGTATAGAATGACAGATTAGAAATATATCCAAACTATGTTCAATTGCTAGACCTCATTAGCCTTAAACAGTCGTAAAAACTTGTGCAACGAAGTAGGAGAGTTACTTAACACTTAACACTCAAGTACTTGGAGTATTGACACTTCAAAGTGTGTTAGAATGTATCTTTATACAAATCCTCTCAAACTTAATTTGTTGTTGTATCCCAAAAAAAAGAATAAAGGTTACTTATAGCTCAAGACTAAAATGTCTACTGTCTGTAGTTTACGCGAGTAGTACATGTAAATAAATCACTTTAACTGTTTTAAACTTATTTGGAAATCACTTTAAGTACGCGGTCTTCCCGTGCCGGTATCTCGAGTCGACCAAGGCTGGGGCGAAGCATCCGAAGCGTCAGGCCGTAGTTAAAATAATTTCCAAATTAAGTTTAATTAATATATATCACGTTTTAAACCGTTTCAGTGTGTTATTTAAACGACAGTTTGACTTCAGAGTGTCATCTTCAGCGAAAACTATTTGGTAGTTAGTAGATATTTCCGACGCTCCTAAAATCAAGAAAGCCGCGAAAACCTTATACAATGTATTTATCGTTATTAATAGGTTTTTAATATCCGTTTTTGAACTCCGCAGAGTGAATCTCACGATAACTCTTACGTAATGCTAGGACTCGGGTCCGTCGTCCGTGTGTTTACAACACACTGCAACTTGTATTATTGTTAAAGCCGCTTTTCCATATCGAGGTAAATAATTAAGAAGTACAGGGCGACCTCGGTGACCTACATTTCGGCTGAGTAAGGATCCCGCTCAAGGGCCTGCAACACATGACCAAATGGTCGCTGGCATATGTGTTTTTTTGGCTAAGCCTAGAAAGGCAAAGTACATAAATACCTATATAGAGGGTAACAATTAGTATTGTTTTGGTTTTGGTCAGGTTTTGACTCTAGAAATGTTTACTTGATTTTCAGTAACCTGACATCGACGCCATTGAACCAACAATAAGATATTTGACAACGTTCACGTTTAAATGTTATCAAGTATTAGGTTTGCTACGGTTTCCTCACGTTAGGTCACTTCCTCAATATTTGCGGTGCAACGTGTCGCAAGCGCAGTGGTTACGTGTCGCAACGCGGGTTCGGTTCCCATTGCAGACAAGTAATATGAGACTGTTGCGGTT